AAAAATGAATGAAGCAGGCTACTACTGTCATTTCAGAGGACTCTTTAAAGTTTCCCTCAGATTGTCTCTTAAATAATGGTAACCATAACAGTACAGAACTAAAAATAAAAAAAGAGGTGCCTGGGTGGCTCAGTGGGTTGGGCATCCAACTTCAGCTCAGGTCATGATCTTGCAGCTCGTGGGTTCGTGCCCTGCGTCGGGTTCTGTGTTGACAGCTCAGACCCTGGAGCCTGCTTTGGATTCTGTGTCTCCCTCTCTTTCTGCCCCTCCCCTGCTCACACTCTGTCTCTCAAAAATGAATAAACGTTAAAAAAGTAAAAAATAAATAAAATAAAAATAGAAAAAGACCAGAACAGAATGCTTTATCATATCTATTATTTGATAAGAGTCACAATTGAGTTTTTATTTTGGAATCTAACAAAGTGATGTTCAAGTTCACATGGCAGAATGGACAGCCTGAACTATATCTGAAAAGGAAATAAACAAAGTAGGCAGGAGGTGAGCGACTAGAATGTAAAACATACTATATGGCTCTGGTAAATTAAAGACTGTGTTACTGGCATAGGAATAGAGAGATTCAGAGACTAGACCTCTGAGTCCAGAAATAAACTTCGGTAGATTTTGGATATTTCACTCATGATAAAGGTGAAATTCCAAATTAGCAGAAAAATATATTTACTACATGACATTGAGAAAACTGGTTTACTATTTGTAAAAGAAACCTAGACTCCCACTTCACACTATGTCAAAACAAATGACACACGTTATTTAAATGTAAAAAAAAACCAAACCAGTTTTTAAAAAATTACATTAATTTTTAGATGGGGACAATACCTTAGAAAGTATAAAGAAAAAGTCCATTAAATTTGATGGCACCAGCAGGGGTGCCTGGCTGGTTCAAGTTGTTAAAGCATGCAACTCTTGGTCTCAGGGTCATGAATTTGGGCCCCATGTTGGGTGTAGAGATTACTTAAAAATAAAATCTTAAAAAAAAAATCAAATAAATTTGAATGCCAAAAAAAATTATTTTTTTCCTTGCAGAGAAAACCAGCTGTAAGAAACCAGCAAAAAATTTATAACAAAAATTCTGACAATTAATATCATTAATCTATAATAAAGGAGTGGGAAAAAATGGAAGACACACAAAAATGGGAAAAGGAATAGGGATGGGGAGTCACAAAAGCTGAACCACCAATGTCATATAAAGCACGCAAAAAATACTTGACCTCCTGAGTCCTCAAAAATATAAATTCGATGGGGTGCATGGCTGGCTCAGTTGGTAGAACATGTGACTCTTGATCTCAGGGTCGTGAGTTCAAGCCCCATGTTGGCCATGAAGCTTACATTTATTTATTTATTTATTTATTTATTTATTTATTTATTTATTTATT